GGGAGGGGTCATCATTTGTTGGGCTTTCTGAGATGCAGCAGGGTTTGGAGAGAGACAGGGGAGGGGGCTGAGGTGGAATTTCCACCAGAACACCCCAGACTCTTCGGGTATGTGCATGCCAGGGCTGGGGTGAAGCTTCCGCAGGGGCAGGGACAGACGGCCAGAGGCGAGCCAGAGGGACCCAGGGGGAGAAAGTGTCCACTCTGTGTTGCCGACGATTGACCCTGATACCCTTTCCTGCTAAATTCTGGGCTTCTTCAATGGGATCTGCTTTGGCCCAGAATGCTGAGCTGACTCCTTCTGGATACTTCCACACGGCCACCAGGGCCCACAGAGCCGTGAACGCAGGCAGAGGTGTCCTGGCCTCGGTCAAATTTGAGTCGGCCTCAGCCTGTGTCCCTGCACTTCTGGCTTGGCCTGGCTCACCTCCCAACCGGGGCGGGGGCGGGGGGTGGGGGAGCGGGGGGGGGGAGATGTGGGGTTGCATCTGTGCCCCGCCTAGGTTTAACAGGACTGACAAGGAACGCGGTCCAAGAAAGCCAGACTGTGGGCTGCTGTGATGGCCCAGGGGCTACAGGCGCCTGCTGCCAAGCCTGCAGAGCTGAATTTGATCCCCAGGATCCACATGGCGGAAGGAGAGAAGCGACTTCTGCAAGTTGTCTTCTGCTTGCAGACACACCACGGCACGCGGACCTGCGCTCATGAGCATGCGCAAGAAAGAGCATGCGCACGCACGCCCAGTCCATCAAGGAAAAGAAACAGTTAAAAGAAGAGAACCAGACTATAGATCTTGTGGGACAGTGACCCGATGATGTCACCACAGCCGGGTCCCCACCTCCCTCCATCAGGGAACCGAATGCTGGGATCTGTGTAACTTTCACCTCTTGGGGTCCCTCCCGTCCTGTGGGCTGGGAAGTGGGGATTGAAAAGGGAGAGGGCGGAATGCGTAAGAGGAGTCACACCCCCTAGCCTCCTGCCCGCCATCCTGCCCAGGACAAGAGGGAGCACACCCTCATGGCCACCGCCCCTGCTTTCCCTTCGTGCCTTGCTCCAGGACGTCCCGTTGCTTTGTATGTGTGTGTGCATCCCGAGAGGGGAAACACAATTATCCGGCCACTGTGACAGTCTCTCGATGCTTGGTCGAGCGCTCACCTTCCTGGCTGGTGACCCCCGGGTGATTCCCCAGCCCAGGGCTGGCCCGTGGGATGCAATGAGTCTGTCTGCATTATTGACATAGTGCGAGCATGGGATGGATGCCTTGGGCTGTGGCAGCCGCTTTATAACATGAGGCATCACACGGGACCGCAGAACCGGACTCATGGGGAGGCAGAGGGGATGGGCCGATGACAGTCACTGAACAAATCCCTGGGCCACCAACTCCTGCGCTTCTGTTTGAACAGACATACTTAGGGCGGGAGTTGGCTCACTCCTGTTGGCTGGGTCTGTCCCTTACACCTGGATGGACCACACGGCGGTTTTATCTGAGGCAATGGAAGCCTCATTCAATGCTTCTGCATTGCAGCTCTTAGGTAGGCTGCCTCATCTGGCATCTATTTATTTATTTATTTATTTATCTATTTATTTATTTGCTTTTGTTGTACCAGGGATTGAACCCCAGGCCAGGAGACACAGGCAGCTGGAAAGTGACTCTGGAGATGAGCCAGGAGTCCTCAGCCCTTACCTGAGCTCTCAGGGGTCTGTCTGAAGCAACCTGGGCTGAGGAGCTGGGCTCTGCCCAGGGTGGGCCCCATGCTCCCCAGATTCAAGCTTCCTCCCGGGTCCCACTCCCCGAGCTGGATCCTGTACCCATCCTGAAGCTGGTTCTTCCATGATAGCCTGAGGTCCCTCTGCCAGCCTGGAGGCCAGAGGGCAAGCCTTCAGTGGTGTCTGTTTACACATGTGGCAGGGGGTGTCAGGAGACAGGAGACAGGGGAGGAGCTGCTCTCAGCCAGAGGCCACGCCTGAGGGCCAGGTGCAAGGGAGACAGCCGGGCCCCCAAAAGCTGTGACTTTTAACACCCAGAGTACTGAACCAGAGCCAGGCCAAGCCGTCAGTTTTTACTCTGTGCCAAACCCTACCACGGCTCTGGAAAATGCCCATCAGGCCACTCTCCTCCCCTTCTCTGAAACCTCAGGGGCAGAAATTTGTCCCAGCCTCATCCCCAACATCCTGCCCACCCTTTCCAAGATTGACCTGGCCCTGGCTGGGGAAGCCTTACACACACACACACACACACACCCTGAGATCCTGGGCCTGGGTTGGGAGACCCTGCCTGCTTGCATAGAGGTTTGATCACAGAAGGCTGTACATGTCCTGCTCCCTTAACTTTTTTTTTTAGTGTGCGTGTGTGCACGTGCATGCATGTGTGTGTGTGTGTGTGTGTGCGCGCGCGCGTGTGTTGCACCTGTGGTCAGAGGACAACTTGCAAGAGTTGGCTCTTTCCCTTTACCATGTGGGTGCTGGGAACTGAACTCAGGTCATCAGGTTTGGCAGCAATCAGCCTTACCCACTGAACCAACTCGCTGGCTCCACCCCTTCCTCCTCCTCCTCCTCCTCCTCCTCCTCCCCTCTCTCTGTCTGTCTCTGTCTCTCTCTCTCTGTCTGTCTCTCTCTGTCTCTGTCTCTCTGTCTCTCTCTGTCTCTCTAAAAGACTCTGAGGCCCTCCCCACCCCTTGCTCATGGACGTGGTGGGAACAGAGCACTGTCCCCCAAGGGGCATGCTGTAGGCACCTCTGATCTTGCCCATGGCTTTCTGGCCAGAGAGGCTCTGTAATTCAGGATGAAAGCCAAACAGTCATGGGAGAGCAGGATTGACTCTGAAGAGACCTCAGCCAGGGGAGCAAGAGAGGCTGCTGGGCTGAAGCTCCTGGTAGGTAGGTGGGTAGGTAGGTAGGCTTGAGCATTTGTTCCATGGCGTCCCCAAGAGGAACCAGAAGGTAGAATGCAGCTGCCTTTGAGTCATTTCTGTAAATGACCTCTCACCCAGATGCCTGTGAGTAACCCCAATAAAACTCATGGGCTCATCAAGTTGGTCGTGGTGGCAGTCATTCTGGGCTCCGTATCTAGGGTGAGTAGACACGTGTGCTGTGTCTCCCTAGGAAAAGCCTTGTCACACAGCACACTCCCCAGTGGGACCACAATGCGGAGCCCCAAGGCCTGTGTAGGCACCCAGACAGTGAACACGCGTGTCCTATGCACAGGGTTCCAGGCACCTTTGTCCTCTCCTGGCACAGGGTGGGCCTGGAGTCACCAAGTCCTTCTGACCCTGGGACACCCACCGAGGACTTGCCCCCGAGCTGACAGTACCTCCCCCATGTCTTTCCCCATAAATCCCCTGTGCCCAGTCCCAAGCAGGTCCTTGGCTGGGAGGAGCAGTGAGGGCTGGGGACAGCACCTTGGGGGTGGGGACAGCAACTGATTTGCCAGCCTCTGAGCATGCCTTGGGAACACAGGTCCCCTGACTGGTGGCTCCCTGAGACCTTAATCCCTTCCTGCTCCATGGAGGCCACCCAGAGCCACCAAGCCTCAGTGGTTCCCGATGCCTGAGACCAGTCTGCTCCGGCTAGCAGGGCTCCATGGAAAGAGGCTTTCTCTAGTCCTGTGTCTCATGTCCCTCCATCCCCACACGCCATCAGCTCCCCAGTCACCCAGACCAGCTAACCTTGGCCTCCAGCGTGGTCAGACGCTCACTCATGTCGCTAAGCCGGGTACAATTCATACATTCTGGAAAAAAAACAAAAAAGGAAGGTGAATCAAAGTTAGATACAGTACACACGCCCTCCCACCCCTACCCCAAGGAAAGGGAAGCCTGGCAACGAGGCTAGCCTCTAGTGACAGCTGGGTAAGATCTTTCTAATGATTTTGCCTGGAAAACTCCTATCCATCCGTCAGAGCCTTATCTTTGAGGTCCATCCTCCTCCTTGCTTCCTGCTGAACCTGAGTCAGCCTGCACAGGGGACAGTCGAGGAGGACATGCTGGAAACCGTGGCATCTAATGGGAAGTCTAAAGGCTGCATGGTGTTTGACACATGCTGAGACCCAGACAGGAACAAAAGCAGGAAGCAGTGTCTATGTGCAGCCAGCCCATCTGGGCACTGGGAGATGGGTTTGGCAGTGTCCTGGCGGGAGAGCTTCCGGAAGGTGACAGTCGCGTCTGCACGCTGTAAGGCTCCTGAGGACCAGGACAGGGCATTTGCCCAGCACACACGAAGCCCTGGCTTCCTCCCCAGGCATGGTGCAGGCCTGAGATCCCAGAGGCTCATCCAACTATATATCAAGTTCAAGGCCAGCCCGTGGTACATGAGACCCTCTCTAAAAACAAGCAACAGCCTCCCCCAATCCTTCTGGTTGTTGCATAGGGGCTCATTCCTGTGATTCCAGTATGTGAGAGGCTGGCCAGGAGGGTCACCAAGAATTCCAGGCTAGCCTGGGCTACAGAATAACTTCCAGGCCAGACTCCCCCTCTCTCTCTCTCTCTCTCTCTCTCTCTCTCTCTCTCTCTCTCTCTCTCTCTCTCTCTCTCTCTCTCTCTCTCTCTCTCTCTCTCTTTCTCTCTCTCCCTCTCTCCCACACACAAACACATTCTCTCTTTCTCTCTTACACACTCATACACACACACCCTCTGTCTTACACACTCTCATACAGACACTGTCTGTTGCACACACCCTCATACACTCTCAATACACTCTTGTCTTACATACACACTCTCTTGCACACACAATCCCTCTCTTACACACGTTCTCTTTCTCTCTTACATTCTCTTTCCCCGCAACACACTCACACACACTCTAACACTGTTTCTCTCTCATACACACACTCTCGTGTAGGGAGAGATCTACATACCCATGGCCAACGCTACGGGTATGTAGACCTCTCCCTACACTCTCACACACTCTTTTACACACTCTTACACACTCTCTCTTATACACACATACTCTCACACACATATACTATACACATAGACACACTACACACATGCTCTCCCTCCCTTCCTCCCCTTTCTCTCTCTCTCTTACACACACACACACACACACACACACACACGCACACGCACACACGGAGTCACAAAGTTCCCTTAGGCCCTCGCCCTCCTGGGCTTTATTGTCTGTTTACGTCCGTCTCCCAGACTAAAACTCTTCGATGTGGAAAGAGATGGTTCAAAGCCACCCTGGGGAGCTTTGATTGCTTTAGACCTCCCTCTCTTTTCTTTGCCCAATTCAGAGCCCGGATTTGTAGGGAGCTCTTTCTGGAACACACGTCCAGAGACTTGGGAGGCTCTGTTGGTTGACTCGGTAGCTGCGCCCGCGTGGGTGCCAGGGCCTTGAGCACACACCACTGAGAGGTCAAGTGGCCTTGCTTAGTTCCTGCTCCCTCCAGGAGGAGTGCGGGCAGTCCTGGCGTAATGCACCAGTTCTCTGAGCGCGCACGGGCTAAGCTGGGCACCTGCCTGGAATCCCACTCGGAGTGAGTAAACTAGGCATAGTAATGCGCACTCATAATCCCAGCCCTCCAGAAGGAGGATCAAAAGTTCAAGGTCAACCTGGGATACATCTCAAAAAAAGTAAAGGCTGAGGAAGTGGCTCAGTGGTTAAGGCACCCACAGTGCAAGCATGAGGACCTGAGTTCAAATCCCCAGAACTCCTGTGGGGAGCACAGACAGCAAGGTGGCTTGGACTTTCTTGCTGCCAGCCCAGGCAGGAAGAAAGTGGGTTCAGTCTCAAGAGAGTGAAATGAAGAATGTCAGAGGAGGGCTTGGGTGTCTTCCACCGACCTCTGCAAGCACATGCGCAAGTGCATGTGTCGCACACGTGTGCACGCGTCACAAGCACGCACATGCACATGCCACACACGTGTGTGCATGTGTCGCACACATATACATGCACTGAAATAATAAAGCCAGACAAGAATAGCAAAATAAAACGCAAAACGAAGGCAGGTGGTAATAAGAAGCAGAGAGGGGATTTGGCCAGAGCATACTGGGAAGAGGAGCAGACAAAGGGGTCACGTGACCCTAAGTCCGGCTCTGGTACCCACGAGTCTTGGCCTAAGGTGAAGGGTTAAGGCAGGGAGGGACAGCCATGTGTAATTAAGCAGTCCTGGCCGAGGTGGGGTCCGGTTGCTCACTGTCTCAGTCTGGTTCTGCAAAGTGGTCCAAGGAAGCCCTTGTCGCTTGAGGGGGTAGGTTAGTTCTCAGAAGTGAAATACTCCGGCTCCAAGCTGCAGCCTCCTCTGCGTGGACAACTGTTCACATGAACCGGGGCAGGGGCTTTGCCCTGCTCTTTCTGGAATTCAAGGTGGCTGCAGGTTTAGGGTTATTTTTTAAATTTATTTTACTTTCAGTTATGCATCTGTGGGTATGACTGTGTGTGTGTGTGGTGTATGTGTGCGTGTGAGTGCAGGTGCCAAAAGAGGCCACAAGAGGGCGTCATATCTCCCGGAGCTGGAGTTACAGCAGAAGGTGCCTAAGTTCTCGGAACTGAAGCAGGTGCCGCCAGCCATCTCTCCAGCCACATGACTACAGGTCCACAGTGACTGGAGCCTCTGTGGGTTCTGGAACAGGGGGTGCAGACACTGACAGTAAGGCGTCTCTGTGACTCTGACCTCACTTTTCACTATGGATGGGTGATAAGCTGGATGGGGTAAAACCAAGTTTTAGATGGATGCTCCTGAGTCAGTAATGGACCTATGAGCCGAGGTGGCAGCTAGCCCAAGTAAAGGATAAAAGCAGAGTGAAGGCAGAGATACCAGGCTTCCAGGCTGCTTTTATTTAGTTACCTAATGGGCCCAGGTGAGGAATCTGTGCTTTCAGTGAATGGAGTTTTAAACGTCTAATTATTTTGTTTTGTTTTTGAGGTACTGGGGATTGAACTATAGTGGGTGCTCTACCACTGAGCCACACCCTAGCCCTCACTGGGGGATTCTAGGCAGGTGCTCTACCACTGAGCCACACCCCAGCTCCTCACTGGGGGATTCTAGGCAGGTACTCTACCACTGAGCCACACACCACCCCCTCACTGGGGGATTCTAGGCAGGGGCTCTACCACTACATTCCTGGCTCCTTATTACAGGGTTGGGGAGGGCACTAGGCAAATTCTCTGCCTCAAAGCTCTCTTTTTACTTTGTATTTTGAAACAAGATCTCACTAAGTTGCTCAGACTAGTCTTGAACTCATTCTACAGTCCAGCCTGATCTACAACCTTCCATCCCTTTGCCCCAGGCTCTGGAATAGCTGGGATGACAGTCATGTGCCACCTGGCTCAGCTTTCAACGTGTTACAGTGGGATCAGGAGAACAGGTGAGTTGGGCATTGTCCTCCACCCTGCTTCAGTCCCCAGGCTCAAGCAGAAAATCACTCAGCAAGAATGATGGCACCCGCCCACCTCCTGCTCCCCGCCCACCTCCTGCTCCCCAGCCCAGCCCTACGCGACTTATTGGAAGGAATGTTTGCATGGAGCCCTCCCTAAAACACACACACACACACACACACACACACACACACACACACATACACATACACACACACACACACACCAATCCCTCCCTCCAACCTCAGGGTGTTCCCCATCAGTGGTTTATAAACAGGTTTTAGGAACAAGGACTCTCTTTCTCCTCACCATAAAACCCTGTCACCCCAATACACAAAACTGATTGAAGATGGGGTGATAAACACTGAGTATCAGCACAAGCAGAAGAATGAGAATGTATACGGTATCCGCGGCTGAGAGCAGACAGCACTTTACAAGGGAAAGCAAGAGGGGGAGGTGGCTCTCTGGGCTCCTTGGTAGATTGAACGCACGTGTTCCCCCGCAGGGGAACCAGAGGTAAAGAAAAAAATATGGCAGAACGAAAAGGCCGGAGCTATCTCAGCAAACGCCTGCCGCCAGTAACATCTTGTGAGACGGAATGTAGTCAGGCACTCTGCTTAATCCTTGCAAACGGATGAGAGCCAGGCCACAGCCATTAGGCCCAGCTGAGGCTGGAGCAGAGAGGGACGGGTCCTCTCTGGGATGGGACCGGAAGAAAAGCAAAAGGCCGCTGATGAAATGCTTGGTCTCAAGAGACCTGCCTCTCTCTTGTGGTGGGTCTGTGTGTGCATGCTCCTGTGCGTGTGTGCGTGCTTGTGTGCGTGCCTGTGCATGGCATGCCTCTCTCTCTCCCTCTCTGTCTCTCTCTGTCTCTCTCTGTCTCTGTCTCTCTCCCTCTCCGTCTCTCTCCCTCTCTGTCTCTCTGTCTCTCTCTCTCTCTGTCTCTCTGTCTCTCTCTCTGTCTCTGTCTCTCTGTCTCTGTCTCTGTCTCTGTCTCTGTCTCTGTCTCTGTCTCTCTCTCTCTCTCTCTCTCTCTCTCTCTCCTCCTGTGTACGTTGTGTAAGTAAACCAGGGTCTGCAGCATGAGCAGGGGCCCTAGAGGATTCCTGGTGTCTCCATCTTCTCTCACAGTCAGGGATTCCGTCCCTTTAAAGGAAGCCCCTGACAGGGTGGGCAAGAGCCAAAAGGAGCACGTGGCCACCCGTTGTTGCCATGCGGGCCTCTTCGCCATCTCCCCTTCATCTCCTGTGCAGCCTCATCCCCCCACAGTGAAGTCCCTACCTATGCCCTCACACCCCATCCACGCCCTACGTATCCCCCACCCATCCGCCCCCCACACCTCGTCCCCTGCCCAGCCCGCCCCGTTTATGCCAGCCCACCCCGTTTATGCGTACCCCATTTATGCCAGCCCACCCCGTT